CCGATCTCCCCAAAACCCCAAAACCCCGTCATGCCAATTATTAATCCTTATGATTTATTAAATTAAAAGATATATTTCTTTGATATATATAGCTCTAAGGTTTAAAATTTCATTATTTATCACTCATCTCAATAGACTTTTTAATCTCAACAGAGGAGTCAACATAGATGTATTTAGCTGCAAATTGATTCTGCAAGTCTTGAATTTCATTCTATAGCTACTCAATATAGTCCATACCATATATTATGAAAGGTCTTTTGAATATTCTATGTTCCTCTTAGAGTATACTAATTGATGTCAGTATTCTACTGCATGTTCTATTCAATTCCAACTATAGTGGCTTAATTTCATTTTTGTTCATCATATGCTTTGCCATTGAAAGATTAGCATCCTCTTATTAATTGATTACAGTAATAAGTCCATCACTATCAACTATCATAGAGTTTATTTGAGCTTTAAGCTAATCCTATTTAATAATAAGGTCTATTATCTTCATAATCTAAGTATTAGCTTCATACATTTTAAAAGCTCTAATAAGTACTTTAATCGTGTTCTGAACATTAATGTTCTATGGATTCGAATAGGTTTCTTCCAACCTTCTCCATTATGGGTAGAGCATAAGTAGATTCATTAAAGCACCGAGAGTTTTCAAAGCAATGAAATATATATCATAAAGATGCTCCTCATCAATTACATCCTTCCTTTGATACTTCTTCTTCAGTATATTTGCATGATACTGGCATTCAACTTGAGAGTAAATCTTTCGTGACTTCTTATAGTGATAGAATAAGGTGTGCTTCTCAGCATCATCTTCATTCTGTATATCTGCCTCAATCACCAGATCTATCTAACTCTAGAGATCATTCAGCAAATTTTATTCCCTCATTTTTTCGTAAAGCCTCGAGGTTGTCCAGTCACAAATAGCTGATTGAGGTTCAGTTAAGAGAGTCATTGATTAGTTATCTATAAAGGTCTGTGTACTTATGGAGTTATTATTAATTAGTTACTATTTTTCAACTTCTTGTTGTTCTTGTTCTCTTTATGACTTAATTTTGACATCCTCTTCAATTTGCACTCTAAGCACTACCTCAAGCTACTAAAGTTTCTATTGCTCCTAAACTTAGAATTGCTGTTTTTACTATTCAAGAAGTTCCTACTTTTCTTGCTCTAATCTTGCTATAAGTTATTATTTCTCATCTTCAATAAGTTTCTGCTGTAATTCTTTTTACTCTTTTTCTTTTAGCTCCTTTAATTTTTCTTAGTCTTTTAAATCGTGATATTGCTTTATTGTAATAGATTTACCACCAACAACAATTTTCCCATTTTTCATTGGCTTTATAAATTTTTAGCTGGAGTTTTAAGCTATTGGGGTATTCATAGATCTTTCTTAGTTGATTAGATTAGTTTTCGAAAGCTAAAGATCAACGCTTAAATTTTGAATGGACTTTGATGGATGATTTGTATTTAATTAGGACGTATTTTCAGATGAGTTACTTCTATTATTTCTTTCAAGCAGTAGTCTCTTGTTATTACATATATATTTAGATGAGCTGGCAGTTTTAGGGGGTTTTATTGAATGAAACTTATTCATCACTGATTGAATCTTTTAATCTATATAGTAATGCTGTTAGTCCATATCTTCTATAGAACCTGTTATTTTGATATGATAATTGTGCTAGAAGTCATCTAAGGATTGTCTCTTTGGTTTTTATTATGAATTCATATACTTCCTAGAATCTGACAGAGTTGATAGTATTGGCGTCTTAAGTATCTATAGTTTGGATGAGTACTCATTGTGATTAGGATTATAATGAGTGTTGAATTATAGTTTCTAATTATCTTTATTTTAGTTGGAGCTTTAATCATTTGGTTTCTCTAAGTATTGATTCTAATCTTATACAAATGATTCTTACTGGCCAAAACTCTTTGTTGGATTATAATGCTTTGCTTTTTGTGTGTAAGTTTGAATCTTCATTTCTTATTTCTAAGTATGCTCGTGTATCCTTCTCAAATCCTTAAATTGATAATTTCTTGACTGTTCTTTAATCCTATCTAAATTTATTTTATCTTAATTTTTAATGTTTACAGCTCTTTTATCTTTAAAAGGCTTTCCAATTTCTTCTTTTTATTTAAGGATCTTATCCTCTACAAGCATTTGCTAATGTTTCATGTGATCAATCTAATCATTTTTAGAATCAAAGAATGCTTAATTAAACCTTGAAAGTTTTGATTATTTTGGTCTTTAGTATAGTAAAGAGGACTTCGATCTATTAGTATTAGCCTAATTAGAAATAGATATATTTTAGTTAATTGCCGAACTAGCTTCAATCTTCTTTATATTATCATTAATGTGGCTGATTGTGATACTGATGTCTTGATTGGTTTCAGTAACAGGAGTGATATCTTCTATAAAGACGCTATTAGAGATACTTTTATTCTATTCTCGTTCCTAATATCTATCATTATTTCTTATTTCCTAATTCTAATGAAACTCAGTCTGTTGCTATTTTTATTTTTAGATCAGTACATCTAATTTTTACTTCAGTCTTTAGTTCTTTTTATTCCTCAATTATTTTAGATTTACCTAGGCATTGGAATCATCATAGTCATTTAGTTTTTGAGTTTAAACATTGATAATAGTGCTTGAAGTGTAATTCCTAGTTAACAAAGAAGCATTTTCTGAGAAGGTATGGTTGCTTATAGTATTTGCAAAGTTATTCAACTGCAATAAACTATTGTTATTGTTTATGTTGATGATGTTAGTAATAGGTTTTCCTTATGAATCTGGTGCTTGGTTAATGATATTTGGAATATGAATGATCTGCAAACTTTGCTATGAGTCTTTATTGATTTACTGTAGTTACTATATGTACTCTTACTCTTTCAAAAGTCTTTCTCGCATTCTATGATTAGATAATTTAGTTGGCTGAATACCTCTGATGTCTATGGTAGAGAGGTTATTAGATTCACCTTTTTACTTGTTTTCGGTTGCAGATCTATTTTTTTAAGATTTAACTACCGATGAAGATCTATAGTTTCCACTTTTAATTCTATTGTCTAATTATTGCTTATGGATTCTTTTATTTGTTTCTATCATAGGATTTTATCGATCTGTTTTATCTAAAGTAGAGTACATGAGATATGACTCATTCCTTACAATGTCACTACTATCACTTTATATTGTATTTCTGCGATCCATAAAAAAGTTATGCTGCTTCTCATTTGATTAGCTTTATTCTTTTTCCTTTCTTAAACTCACAACATAGGGCTAAAAATGCTGATTTTAAATGTTTTCTTATGCATTCTCTTACTTTTACTTAACATTTTTCCTCTATTTTTTCTATTTATGATTTGTTAAGAAAATCTCATAATCATCTTTACTATTATCAGGCGATCTAAGTTTATTGTCTAAATCAAATGATACTCCTTTGCTACTAGCAGTAAAATTGCGATTACTTCCACTTCTCTTACTAGACCTGGATCTACAATTTTAAGAGGAATTTAACTATGAGTTATAGCTATTTTTCTTTTCATTTCTGATTCTCAGAGTGCTTTTCAAATTTTTTTCCCGTTACTCAATATCTGGATAATATATGTCTCGAAGCTTCTACTCTGAGTTCAGTTTATTCTATTAATTAAAACCACCTCTACTATTCAAGTCACCGTATATTGACTCATTGTTTATATTAGAAAAAGACTATTCATAAGGATGGAACTAATCTTTTTGCTTCCTACCTTGCTTGTAGGATTTTTGTTTGAAAGTAATTTGAGTTATTTGAGGGATTCCGATTTCTATCAATTGATTTTAACTCTTACTCATTATTTATTTGACTTTTATTCTATGTTTATATTATAATAATATACTCATGTAAAAAACTTAATACTTTAATCTATGTTCATATTACTTAGCGGGGTTTTGGGGTTTTGGGG